GAAAATATTGGGTTAGCATAAAATGGGATTACATTGTTTGGTTGTAGTAAGAAAAATTTGATGGAACCGAAAAAAATACTATCAATTTATTTTATGTAATAAATATAAATTTTATTTTTATTTAAATAAAAAATCAATAATCTAAACATTTTAGAAAATTTTAAAAAATTTAAAATTAAAAAATCTTCAAATCGGTCAACGCCGATTAAATTCATTAGCAGAGAAATCATGTTATACTTTTGCTATATCAATATTGTAAAATCAACCACTTAATAATGTGTATACAAACTTATACAACGTTTAATTTTAACTTTATACAACATATAAATAATGCACCTGGTATAAAATAAAAACTTTACACATTGTGCATGTTGTCCAATAAGCTACTGACGAATGGGCATTACATGTCATAATATTATTTACAATGTTAAATTACCCATATAAGTTGGTTTTAATCTTAAACATATTTTATTATCGTTCAGACTAAATCTAATAATAATTATTGACTGATAATAAGTGATTAATTAAGAGAACATTTAATTAATTAAAGTAAAATCATGGAGGTAAGCAATAAAAGCAAAATCTTAAGACATGGGTGACAAAAAAAATCTCAAACAATAACGGGGTTTTGATGTAGTAAACCTTAGGGGAGTTCAGTAAATTAATCCTCTATTTGCATTTAAGTTTTGGAACAGAAATGAAAGAGAAGATGACGTACTGATTCACACAGAGAACGCAGCTCCATCTCTGTTTGTTTCTCTCTGTCACAAAAATCTCTCTCTCCAATCTCCATTAATTTTTTTCTTCTTTCTTTACTTATCCAACTTTTTATTTTCGTCCTTTTTTCTATCTCTTCTCAAATTCTCTGCATAATCTTCATTTCGTTACAACCCACACACACTCCTTTTTGGCTTCTGCTAGGTTACACTTTCTTTCACTCTATTCATAGCTTCTCTTTCTTATAATAGTATAATTAATGCCCTTAAAAAGTGTGTATTTCAAAACACAAACATAAACAATATAAAAAACTTCTAAAAACCAAAAAATACAAAAAAAAAATAAAAGAGTTTAATAATATGCCGCAACTTTTTGTATATTGATAGACAATTCTTTCAGTTTTATTTAAAAAAAAAAATGGTAATACTAGGAGTGTAATCTAACCGAGTAGCTCGCGAGCTACTCGGGCTTGACTCATCACGAGTTGAGGCTCGATTCAATTGTTATCGAGTAGATGTTTGAGTTCGAGTGTCAGTTTAGGCTCGAAAAAATAGTCGAGTAGATATGCTCGATTTGAGCTGCTCGCGATCTTGAGAATGCTTGCATTGTTAGTCGAGTCTTCCAGCTTGATACTCAATCGTTTGTTGCAGCTCGTGTCAAATTACATTTACCCCAAAACGAAGACAAACCGCATCACTACATTAGTCATAAAATCCCTAAAACAGCCACTACTCAGTCGCAAAATCCCTAAACCACATCAGCCATTGTTAGGGCCAAAAATCGTCCTTGGCCCAAATAGGGAAATAGGACCACTAGTGAAGAAAGACCAGGCCCAGTCCTACAGAGGCCCAAGCCAGATTAGTCCTATTTGACACGAGGTATAGCCGGCCCAAATCACATGGGCGCAAGCCTCTTAATCCCAGTCCATTTCCTAGGTCCATGGGCGAATCCAGAGCCCACAGCCCCCTCAGAGTACTTTCCTACTCCTAATCAACCTCCTATTCAAGGTCGCCTTCCTATTCCTGATCACTTTCCTACTCAGAGTTAATTCTCCTAATCAGGATCACCTTCCTATTCGGACACTGGTAAGACAGCTCACCACGGCCCTAATTCTTCTAGGGTTTGCATTAGAGTCATACTAGGACTCCTACTTTCACCAGGATTGGGAGACCAGACAGTCGCTATATAAGCAGAGGCAAGCCCTCTCACAAGGGACATTCAACCTTCACACCTAAAGCTCTGACTTGAGAGCTTCATATCACCGCCGTAGTCACAGTCCCCGACTAGACTTCCGGTAACCTCTTATTCCCTAGCCCTCACTATATTTTCCCTTCAACCTAGCTGACTTGAGCATCGGAGTGCCTACGGCAAACATCACACCGGTGTTTCCCATTCGCTTCACGCGTGTGTTTCTCTACGTGTGCCGGTACAGCAAATCGCTAGTGGCCTCAACCTCACGGGATCAGACCCTCTCTTTCCGTACAGGTAGATTTTTACATCTACAGTTTGGCGCCCACCGTGGGGCCTCTAGCAATCATTCGGCTTGACGAACCTTGCTACGTGGAGGAATATTCCATGGCTGACAATCCCGACGATGTTAACTCCGGCCTCGAGGCCAGACTGGAGGCTTTGACCGCGCTCATGCAAAAAAATTTGGACAAGGTGGCCGCGCTGGAAGCCGAAAACACCTCCATCAGGGTCGAGAACCAATAGCTAAAGGAGAAAGTAAGTCAATTCTACGATCTCGAGTTTCTGCCCGACCAAGCACCCCCTAATCGGTTCCATACCACTATCTCATCCATGCAACCTCTCTCCACACCAGAGCATCGACCCTCGGATTCTGGTAAAGGGCCGCGTTAGTTAAACGCACCGGCGTCGGACTACTCCATTCTGACTAACGGAGATAAGGATATGCCAACAGCGCACTGTCCAGTCGACCCATCCCAGCCTCATGATCAGAACGATCCAGCAACAGAGAGCCCGCAGGATCAACTCATCCCCACCATCCCACTTCACCTCCAGTCAACCCAAACACAAACCCCATCCGGCTCGGCTCACCCTCGCGGGTTGAACGGCCAAACCCAACCAACTCCAGCACTTGAGCCCATCCATCCTGACGGACCGAACGACTACCAGACGACTCCCCTGACCATTCATGTAGGGAAGAATAATAGAACAGTGACAATGGGAGTCGTCCAACCGAAAGGGATGAACGAAGACCCATGCTACCAAGGAACGCACAATGGAATGATTTATTAGACTACCCCCCGAGGGATGACCCAACGAAATGTACCAGACCCGGTAAGACGGGATGACCGGATAGCATCCCCTTCCCCTGTGGAACAACTACTGGCCAAGAGACTGGCCGACGTTGAGGCAGTAATGAGATGCATTCCAGGAATGCCAGTCCCAACCAAGAAGAGCAGACCAAATTGTTACGCCGATTCACCCTTTGTGGATGAAATCGCCCTGGCTGACATGCCCCAGAAATTCACCATCCCCAGCATGAAACCATATGACGGTACCACCGACCCGGATGACTGCATAGCCTCATACAAGCAGCGGATGTTTACTGTCTCCATACCCTAACCGCTGAAGAGGCCTGCATGTGCAAAAGTTTCGGTTCTAGTTTGTCCGGCCCGACACTCCAATGGTATACGAACCTCCCGATCGGATCCATTGATTCATTCGCTCAGCTTACCGACACCTTTGTGAAACAATTCGCCAGCAGCAAGAAGCTAGAGAAGTTGTCGGCCGACTTGTACCGAGTATACCAACGAAGGGGAGAGCCATTAAGAGAGTTTGTTAGTAGATTCAACAAAGAGAAGATCTCGATTCCCTCATGTAACCCCAAGACTGCTGTGGACGCTTTCAGAAAAGGCCTCCTCCCGGATGGAGAACTATACAAAGAACTTACAAAGCTGGGCTGCACCACAATGGAAGACGCTCTGGCCCGAGCCGTTATCCAGATAAGATGGGAGGAAGATGAGATGAACTGAGCTGCCCATTCCAGATATGAACCAAGGCGGAGTGACAGGAAGCCAGAGCCTAGATCGGTAGAACATCGCTACCAACCTCCAGCACGCAATATGGGCAGAATCAGAAGACCTTATGATCGCCAACCCGCCAGAAATGATAACAGACATTTCGGATCGAACCAGCACAAAATACCAGAGTGCAACCTCAGCGTCGAACCAACCCAGGTCGTAGCGATAATGAAAGGAATGGGATCCTCCATCAAGTGGCCTGGTAAGCTCAATCCCGAGGCGAGGAGAGACGCAACCAAGTGGTGCGAGTTCCACAACGATCAAGGGCATAACACCGCAGACTATATCGCCTTGCGGCTCGAAGTTGCCGCACTTCTGAAGAGGGGACATCTCCGGGATCTACTCACTGACAAGGGGAAGAACACCATTAGCTAGAAGGGCTCCAAACAACCGTCGCCCCCTCCGCGAGAACCCACACCTAAGGGTTTCTGCTCGCTCATCTCCGGGGGATCAGAAATCAGTAGGGTAAGTTACTCATCGGCCAAGCGGTATGCTAGAACCAACCACCATGAAATCCAGTCCGTCCATCCGGTCTCAAGGTCATACTCTCATCAAGTAATTTAGTTCGAAGATGACGAACCGGTCACCCTGGCCGCTCCTCACCACGATGCTTTAGTCCTTTCCCTACAAATAGCCAACATCCTAGTGAAAAGGGTGTTCGTAGATAGAGGTTCGTCAGCAAATATCCTATTCCTCGAAGCAGTAAAAGCAATGGGGCTAGAAGAAGCAAATATCAACAGACGACCGACACTGCTGGTTGGATTCAGCTCGGAACAGAAATACACTATCGAGGAGATCATCCTTCCTATCTATGCTGGCGGAGTAAACAAACAGACAGTCTTCCTGGTGATCGACTGCCCATCCCCCTACAACGTCATTTTGGGCCGCCCTTGGATCCATGACATGCGGGCAGTGCCATCTACCTTCCATCAGACGATCAGGTTCCCAACCAAGTGGGGAGTGCGGGAGATCAAGGGCGACCCTAAAGCTTCCAGGGATTGCTACAAGAACGCCTTCAAAGGCAAAGGAAACTCCTCATAGCAATTACAGTCTCATCCAACCCCTCAAACCGAGCCCGATCAACCGACTATTGAGGAGTTGGATGAAGTGCAGATACATCCAGATGACCCAGAGAGAAAGACACAAATAGGCTCCCGCCTCGAACCCGAGACAAGAGAGAAGCTGATAGAATTTCTCAAACGGAACGAAGACTGCTTCGCCTGGTCCTACGCCAACATGACCGGAATCAATCCAAACGCAATGGTCCACCAGCTCAAGGCAGATTCGGATCACCCACCAGTCAAGCAGAAGAGGAGGAAATTCGCACCTGAGCGAAACCGGATCGTCAATGAAGAGGTTAAAAAGCTTCTAAGCAACGGCATGATCAGAGAGGTCCACTACCCCGAATGGTTGGCGAACATTGTCATCGTAAAGAAAAAGAACGGAAAGTGGAGAGTTTGCATCGATTTCACTGACCTGAACAAAGCCTGCCCCAAGGATTCTTTCCCACTCCCACATATTGACATGATGGTAGATGCGACCGCAGGGCACGAACTCCTCAGTTTCATGGATGCTTTCTCCGGATACAACCAGATTTTGATGCATCCGGACGACCAGGAGAAGACAGCCTTCATCACCAAGAGGGGAACCTACTGTTACAAAGTGATGCCGTTTGGACTAAAGAACGCCGGGGCCACCTACCAACGTCTGGTCAACAAAATGTTCTTTGACCACTTAGGGAAGACCATGGAGGTGTACATCGATGATATGCTCGTCAAGTCCCTGATCGCCGAACAACACCTTGACCACCTTAGCCAGGCATTCGCCGTTCTCCGGAAGTACAACATGAAGCTGAACCCAGACAAGTGCTCATTCAGCGTCTCATCAGGTAAATTCTTGGGCTACATGGTTACTCAGCGAGGGATAGAAGCAAACCCCGACCAGATCAGAGCGGTCCTCAACATACCATCCCCGACTTGCATCAGAGATGTCCAGCGCCTGGCAGGACGAGTGGCCGCCCTGAGCCGTTTCATCTCCAAATCAGCTGATAAATGTCACCTATTCTTCCACGCCCTCAAGAAGTCCAAGAATTTTGACTAGAACCTTTCCTGCGAAGAAGCCTTACAACAGCTGAAGAGGTATCTGACCACACCACCACTTCTTTCCAAACCTATGGATGGGGAGAAGCTCTACTCCTACCTAGCGGTCTCAGAGACAGCCATCTCGGCAGTACTAGTTCGAGAAGAAGAATCAAAGCAATTACCAGTCTACTATGTGAGCAAGTCGCTCCTCGACGCAGAAACGCGGTACAGTCAACTGGAGAAACTGGCCCTCACCCTCGTCCATGCGTCCAGGAAGTTCAGGCCGTACTTCCAGTGCCACCCCATTGTTGTAATCACCTCCTTCCCACTTAAGAAGATACTACACAAACCAGAACTATCAGGCCGATTCATGCAATGGACGGTAGAACTTAGTGAGTTCGATATAGCCTACCAATCCCGTACCGCCGTCAAGTCCCAGGCACTGGCAGACTTCATTGCCGACTTCACACCAAGCACCACCACCCAGGCCGAAAGAGAATTACTATGCATGAACGGCGTACCACCCTCAAAGTGGACTCTCCTAGTAGACGGATCGAGCAATGTCAATGGAAGCGGACTCGGAATAGTACTGATCGCACCAGAGGGAGACATCATCCAGCGAGCAATCCGGTGTAGGTTCAAGTGCACGAATAACGAGGCTGAATATGAAGCCCTCCTAGCAGGACTTTCCTTGGCCAGAGAAATAGGAGCCAAGAGACTAGAAGTGAAGTCGGACTCCCAACTCGTAGTCAATCAACTACAAGGTACATATCAAGCACGTGATTCAAAGATGACATCCTATCTGAGCATGGTCAAAAAGCTACAGACTGAATTCGAAGAGTTCTCAATAGTACAGATCCCCAGAACCGAGAACTACCACGCCGACGCCCTCGCCAACCTTGGCTCAACACTCCCATGTTCCTCCCAGTCATCCATTCCCCTCTTATTCATGCAGTGGCCAGCCAACTGGAAGGTACCACCACCGAACAAGTCTCCCATAGAGGCCATGGGCATTGAACAAGCTGACTGTTGGATGACCCCAATAATAAGATACCTGGAAGACGATGAGCTCCCGGCTGACAAGAACGAAGCCCGCCGACTGAAAGCAAGAGCCGCCAGATTCACCATACATGAGGGCCAACTCCTCAGAAAGTCATTCTCGGGCCCTTATCTGAAATGCATAAGCCCAGAAGAAGCCCAAAGTGTTCTAGCCGAACTCCACGAAGGCGAATGCAGCAACCACGCGGGGGGGCGCAGTCTGGCACACCGGGTGATCACCGCGGGGTACTACTGGCCGACCATACGCACAGACTCAACCGCTTATGCAAAGAAATGTGACAGCTGTCAGAGGTTTGCTCACGTCTCAGACCTCCCACCAGAACGACTCCATTCCATTCTCACACCGTGGCCGTCATGAAGTGGGGAATAGACATCGTGGGAAAGCTAACTACTGCACCAGGGCAACGAGTCTTCATGTTGGCTGTGACAGACTACTTCACCAAGTGGATCGAAGCCGAAGCCTTCGCTCAAGTCAGAGACCGAGAGGTAAAAGCTTTCATCTGGAAGAATGTGATCTGCAGGTTCGGAATACCGAAGGAGATTGTCACCGATAATGGGTCCCAGTTCATTAGTTCAGGCTTCAGGGATTTCTGTGACATGTGGGGAATAAAATTGAGCTTCTCAACACCCCGCAACCCCCAGTCTAACGGCCAAGCCGAGTCATCAAACAAGACCATTATACAGACATTAAAGAAACGACTGCAAAAAGCTAAGGGCGCATGGGCAGATGAGCTACCCGGAGTCCTCTGGTCATACCGAATGACGACTCGATCATCAACCGGTGAAACTCTATTCTCCCTGACATACGGTTCCGAAGAGTCATTCCAGTTGAAGTGTCAGTTCCATCCACCAGGCTTCAATGGGCGAACGAGGAATCAAACAGTCACAACCTTTGCCAGAACCTAGACACTGTGGACGAGCTACGGGAACGGGCGAGCATCCGCAATGCAGTTTACCAGCAATAGGCCGCCCGACATTATAACCGCAACGTGAGGATCCGTACCTTCAAAACAGGTGACTGGGTCTTCCGCAAGGTCTTCCAAAACACCAAGGAGATCAACTCTGGCAAACTCGGTCCCACCTGGGAAGGTCCCTACAAAATAATCGAAGCAGCAGGGAAGGGCGCCTACAAACTCCAGACCCCCGAGGGCAAAGACATCAACAATAGCTGGAATGCCATTCACCTCAAACGCTACTACTTCTAGGTGAACCTTGTCTTTTTTGAGAATTTGTTTTTGTTTCATTTTTTAAGGATGAGTGAGCCTATCCACCTCCTCTTAGACAGTCGGCCTCATGGCCAAATATTTAATGAAGTATTATTCAGAAGTTTTCATCTTCAAATCGACCCCGGTCGACAAATTGCTTACACCTTCAAATCGGCCTTGCCCGATGAACGTTCGAACACCTTCAAATCGGCCTTGCCCGATGAACGTTCGGACACCTTCAAATCGGCCTTGCCCGATGGACGTTCGGACACCTTCAAATCCGATGGACGTTCGGACACCTTCAAATCGGCCTTGCCCGATGAACGTTCGGACACCTTCAAATCGGCCTTGCCCGATGAACGTACGGACACCTTCAAATCGGCCCTGCCTGATAAAAACGTACGAACACCTTCAAATCGGCCTTGCCCGATGAACTTACGGACACCTTCAAATCGGCCTTGCCCGATGAACATACGGACACCGTCAAATCGGCCCTGCCCGATAAAACGTACGGACACCGTCAAATCGGCCCTGCCCGATAAAACGTACGGACACCTTCAAATCGGCCCTGCCCGATAAACGTACGGACACCTTCAAATTGGCCCTGCCCGATACATACGGACACCTCTCAAATCGACCCCGGTCGATGAATTACTCACCTTCGAATCAACCCTGCTCGAGTCACGATGATACCTTTGGATCGGCCTGCCCAATCCAAGACTTGGCACCTTGGGACCGGCCCCATTCGACCTAAGAACTAAACTGAAGATGCAACGTCATCCATCCAGGGGACTACACACTGGGTCGGCCAGACCGAATGAATGATTTCTACACCATTGACAAACAAAGCACCAACCCAGCCCAACATAGGGCCTACACGCCTTGGCCATTGGGCCACGCGGAGGTAACATACACAAACATAACGCGCATACAAGAGAAATAAAGAACAGTTCAGTCATCCAAGAAGACAACACTAGAAATCAGAACAGTCAAAGGGTGGTATATATGGCATCAAATGCCCCAGTTCAGAATACAAAAAATGGCATAGACGCCAGACAAAAGGGCATCACAGGCCCCAAAATACAAAAATAAAAGGAAGCGCTAAGCATCCTCAGCATGAACCTCATCCTCCATCACCAAATCGGTCGCCATGTCCGCACCGCTAGTGCTCGGCCCCGCAGCCTGGTCGCTCACGTCACCAACACCCAATCGCCCTGGCTGACTGAAGTCAGGCGCCTTCCCTTTGTCCTGCCCCACCGGATGACTAGTTTCTTCTTCCAACAACTCCTGCATGAGCAGAATGTCTTCATCCGGATCCCAATGAGAGGTCCGCCCTTCCTTGAACTCCAGCATAAGCTCGCCTCGAGCCTTAATGATGGCGTCGTCAGCAATGGAGATGCACTGCTCCCTGAGGGACTCAACTTCGGCGGTCCGGCCAACTCGTGCCGTAACCTCGTGACCTCGGCCTCACTATCCCTGAGGCACTGCTGACTCTCCTGCTCAGCCTTCCGGGATGCTGCCTCCCTCTGGTGTAAACCAATGTTGGCCTTGGATACATCCTGTATCCGCTTCTCCTGCGCCACGACAGACTTCCTCAGATGAAGACTGCTAGTGAGTACCTACACAACAAAACTCAGCAATGAGAACAAAGTCAACAACAGGGAAAATGAGCAAGTACTGCCATACCTGAACGGCACGGGATACGCCCCAATCGGCCGCAGCAACTGCACCCATCTGGTTCAGGCGCGCCTCGTCCGTCGGGAACAAAAAAGAGTCGGCCAGCTTACTCATAGAGGTCGCGTCAGAATAAGTCGATGCAGTAGCCGGAATCGTGATAGTAATAGTCCCGGCCTCCTCATCCACAACGGCAGCCTGGGACGACCTGGCTTCCGCTGAAGGCTACTGGCTCGACGACTGCCGATTGGGCAATGTCGCCAGTACGTCCTCAACCCTCGCGTTCGCCCTGGCCACCGACTCCCTCCTCCTCTTCTCTCGACGCTTGGCGATAGACTCGCTCGCACTTGGGACGCTCAACTTCTTCATAAGTGACTCTACAAGTGCAAACTCTCCAACGGTTAGTGGGTTCAGCCTGGACTCACCAAAAATCAGTTGATTGCAGTATCGACTTAGGAGAACGTCCCAAGTCTGCTTCAGCGAGGGGAAGGGAGTACCTCTCTGTATCGCCTCTACTCCAGCCCAAAGAATACTGGTCCTCAAGTTGGACTCCGCAAGCACCACCCGCCAATCCCTCTGCTCCAATGGGATAGCTAACACCCTCTGAGTCGCTACGTCCAAGCCATCTCCGCTCTGCCCGGCCCGATTGAACTCAAGCTCTGCAAACAAAAAATACAATCAAGATTTAGTAATCACAAGAACGAAAGAAACAAGTTCTCACCAGTAGCTCACCAGCCGATCAGGATCTCGCCCGGGCCCCTCTCTCCAAAAACGGCCTGACCCTTCAAGAAGAAGTAGCGGTCTTTCCAGTTCTTATTACTGGACCGCAGGTCGGTCACTAGGTGAGACCGGTCGTGCCTCAAGTTGAGCAAATATCGGCCCTTCTCCTTATCGTTCTCCTTCAGGAAGTACGAGTACAGTAGCTCGTGCAACCCAAACATTACTTGGTGCCGAACACACAGATCCTCCAGAGCCATCGACAACCTCCAAGCGTTCGGCATAAGCTGGAAAGGGGCAATCATGAAGTGGTTCAACACCTCCCAGACGAGGCGAGGCACAGGCAACCTCAACCCGTCATGAAACCACTTCTCATAAACACAGACCCAGCCCGTAGCTTCCCAATCAACCCGCTCATAGGACCGCGGGGTCCGGATGTCGACCGAAATAGGGATATGATACAATGTATGGATGCGCCACACGTCACCATCTTTAAGAATGGGCGGATAATCCCTGGTCAAGATCCCACTGCCCTGTTGGGTCGGCTCTTCCTCGGAGCTACTGCTGGACGAGGATGGATTGCCAGCCCCTCCGGAGTCTTCCTCACTCCGCTCATGCCTGCCAGAGCCGCTCGGTCTAGCCTGACTCGCCCCTAGAGCGACTACACTAACTCCAGTTGGTACGCCCACCGGGACGCTACCTTCAGGCATCATCACGATAGTCGGCGCATGCTCATACTCATCCCCAACATCAACCACATCTTGACTCGAACCTGCTGACGTATCGTCTGACATCGGATCACTCACCCGTCCCAACCGACTGACTCGTTCCTTATGGAACTCAAACTGAACCACTCAAGTATCAACCTAGCTACCGGTCGCCCTTCAACACCGCACGATGTCCCTCAAAACCGGCCTCTTTAATCTCAGTCGACCCGTCCTACCGAGAGGTGGAATCCTAGATAGCCAGTCGTCCCACCTAACCGACCGAAAGAAAAGGCTCGCTACTAGTCGACCTGCCCGACAACGAGAGCCCCTGCCCTTGGTCGATCCCTCCAACCTACCGACCCTAAGCCAAAATCAGTAGAGCACTAACTCGCTCGCCCCAGACGATCGATCCACCTCCAATTTCAACCCTAGTTACCTGCTCACCCCGATCACCAATCCCTCAACCTAAAGACTCACACTCGCCCTGGATGACCGATCGCCTAGTCCACACCGCACGCCTCCTCACCACTCGGTCAGACGTACCGACCGACCCAAACAACGCCTAAGTCGACTTCGTCTTCCAGGCCCAATCCAAAAAACCTAGAAAATATTCAAAACTGTCGGATTCTTCCCGGATATCCACCAAAAAATTCAAACCTACGCCTATTCTCCAAAATCCTAACACCAAAACACTTGGAAACCTAGTTTAAACCCGCTCAAAAGTTCAAAACACCTTCATCCTACCTCCCAAAAGTTTCAACAAAAAAAGAAATCTACCTACAGAATAGCAAAACGGCCTAAAAAGAAAAAGTTACCTTGGATGATTGCAGAAAAGACCACCTTCGCTCAAGAAACTGGGACAAAAACGAAGAAAAAAGGGAGAGAAATTTTTCGGATGAAAACACAAAACCAACGCGAATGGAAGATGAACAGTTTGCTCCCCAATTTTGTAAAGAAAATGTAAACACGTGGCAGGCTGTGATTGGTCAGTTGTCAGGAGTCTCTTCGTTTTCCCGCTCTCGAAACGACAGACCGATCGCCACCATACACGCAGCGATCCGAATCACCTGGGAAACCGTTGTTCCGTACGGAAGCTGTGTCTCGATCGCCCGGTTCTTCCGACCGACTCAGTTTGTACCGCCCGGAATGAGTCTGACACGCATCCAATCTTCACGCGCCAACAAATTCACTTGGCCACTCGATCCACCCGACCGACTCAGCTTTTCAGTTCGGGAGCCCTCCTAAGCATCCCATGCTCAGCCGGCCCGGAAGGCCTGGTCGACCGATGCATGAGTTTGGAATGGTCCAGGTCGAGCCATCTTCAGAACAAAATTGAGAATCTCGCCCAATCATCCATCCGTGGGGAACGAGTGGACAACGTGTAACCGAGATACCTCACCCACTTAGTCGTCCCAGCATCCCGACTAAATGAAGCTTTTTAGTAAACCTCCTGAAACTGTCTGATCCGACATGACGAATGAGTGCCTCTTAACAGTCTCCTTATTAGTCGTGCGGATGTACCGAACGACCACATCTGGCTCTCTGCTCTTCAGCTCGCCGAACCGATCAGGCACCTCGCAATGATGGCATACTTTGGGTCGAGAGTGGATACCGAGCAACGTCCAATCAAGGATCACCTGCGGCGGTCAGATCATTCACTCCAATGATCGTTCGTCCATGAGGAAAGACCGAGCTCGCCTTGAGCGCAATCTACTCTCTGACTTAAGATACTCTCAACTCAGAGAGTGGGGGACAAACTGTTAGGGCCAAAAATCGTCCTTGGCCCAAATAGGGAAATAGGACCACTAGTGAAGAAAGACCAGGCCCAGTCCTACAGAGGCCCAAGCCAGATTAGTCCTATTTTGACATGAGGTATAGCCGGCCCAAACCACGCGGGCACGA